CGCGGCATTCACTGACCTGAGATTTGATTTTAGGAATTCTTGATGTCGCCACAGTACCCGAAGGATCGGCTGGTGTACAGTCGGATGTTCAGTTTATTTGGCGAGAGGTAGGTGAAACCCATCTGAAGCCACTGTCGTCTGAAAAGAAGTGTAAAATTATAAACACCACAGGCATGAGACTTGTTTTGTCTCAGACCATTTACCTCAGTGTGGGCATTAATGACTAATTCCAGACACATGTAAGCAGCGTGTACCTAGTCAATTATGTGTCAAGTCAAATGTCTCCTCAGTCAGGGAGGAGGTTATGGTGGAATTTTTTCCCCCTTGACCACGTTTTAATCCACTGAGGATATTCAGGTAGTCCCAGAATAGTTTGCTCAAGACCATCATCAAACTTCTCCCTTAGATTTTAGAGCACTGAATTATTCCTTAATGCATGGGAGTTTCCAGCTCTTAAGTTCAATAACAAAAAAAGGGGATTTTTCTCTGTTAGCCTGAAGCTTTTAAAAATATAATTAATCCAGTTATTATATGAATTATTTGTGTAACGGCTGTAATGAAACAGCATCTTATTGGACCTAGCAGTCCACACCTACCAGGGAAAACATGTCTGCAGGTCAGCTGTTTTCCACAGTTGCAGTAACTGTGTACTCAAAGCAGCACAGTGCTCCCTGCACATAGGAGGAAACCAAGAAGGTACATGTGGAAGAGCTCTTTGTGACAAGACTGGGTTCGCCTGGCCCCCTTACTGAAAACTCTTTTTTTTCCCCTGTTTTCCTAAATGCCAGGCTTCTGGGGAATGGCTTGGTAACTGTTTCCAACCACGAGCACTGGCACAAGCAGCGGAGGATAATGGATCCAGCTTTCAGCCGCACGTAAGGCAGATCTCTCTGGGATTATCTAACTGTTATTTCTACTGTGTTTCCATGGTTCTCCCTGTCATTGATCCATTATTTGATATTTAGAAAGAGAAAAAAAATCCCATTTAGTGCCAAAATCATGTTTCATTTAGAGTCCAACACACCATTTCCATGATAAGTGTAATTAGACCAGACTTACCACGGGACAGTGACACCCATAAGCTCAGCAATGGCAGAAATGTCCCAGGAATCTGATGATGGCTGCCTTGTCCTGTCAGAAACCAGACCTTGGGGATTTGACATGGTCAAGCCTCATCCTTCACCTGCCTGAGTGATTCCCTGTGGGAGATGGAGCTTGGGTGATGAGTAGGGGGTTGGTTTGCTTGTGTGTGCCTCCATGCGTTGTGTTTAGGGTCTGGAGATAAAGTCCATTTGCCTCGGCATGCACAGCCCAAAGCCCTTTGCCATGACAGGCTGATCACGTGGCAGGATGGAGCAGGCTACTGTATGAATAATTGAGCTCATTTTGCAGTATTAACGCAAATTTATTATGAATTACATCCCCGAAATCCTTTACAATTTTCAATGGAAAATCATGAAGATAATTTTGCCTGAGCAAAGACGTCCACTCCAGAGCCCCCATCACTCATTTTTATTAATCGTTCAGCTACCTGATTGGTCTGATGGAAACTTTTAATGACAAAGCAGAGGAGCTGATGGAGAAGCTGGAGGAAAAGGCAGATGGAAAAAAAGAGTTTAGCATGCTGGCCATGATGAACCGGGTGACTATGGATATCATTGCCAAGGTACCGGCTCTCCGCTTTCTCGTTACCTCTGCGACTGGCAGGAAGGAATGGGAGTAACGGGTGCCAGCAGCAGGACGCGATCAGGAGCACAAGACCTTTACCCAGTGCCAGAAGAGCTGACGGACAAATTGTGCCCCTTCCATTTGAGCTGAGCCATGGGAAGGGGCAGTTAGGGAAGGGTCTGCGCAGCCAAGGTGTGGCCTGCAGGATGGGGACCCTTTGCAAAAGCCCTTACAGCCTCATAGCTCCCACCCCACCAGGCCAAAGGGACCCAACCAGTGCTTGTTCATGTGGGTCTTGTTATTTTCTGTCAGCGTGAAGTCTGCCTTGTGCTGGTTTTTCCCTTCTCTATGCAAAACATTCTAGGATGAATGGTAACAGTAAATAATGAACCCCCCTCAAATAAGGAGGAAGCATAATGTAGATTTTACCCTTCCCTCGCAGCCTCCCGCAAGGCAGCATCGAGCCTGAAGTGTTTTTAGGGGAAAAGGTGGCGGTTTGAGCCTATCTTGCTCTTTCACCCCAGGAAGCCAGGAGGATGGAGAAAGTTGTTGCCTTTTTCTCTCCCGCTCCTCAGGTGGCCTTTGGCTTGGAATTGAACGCGCTGAGCGACGACCAGACGCCTTTTCCACGCGCCGTGACGCTGATTTTGGAGGGAATGACCAAGAATCGCATCCCCTTCGTGCAGGTCTGTACGGTCCTCATTTCATCCCCACTCCTTGTATCCAGCTGGAGCCTCTGCTCCTGGAGCTGTGCGAGGCTCATACACAAGGAAGAAACAGTCATCAGTA